AGCTACCAATAACTGTCACTGACCATATCTTAGAGGTGGGCAGAGAATTTTAGAGCACAGTTCAGTTGTGCAAGCCTCTGTGTTTTTCAATCCCTGCTGCCTGGGGCCTTTCATCTTCTCCTGCTTTGGGCGAATAAGTAAGGGGGAGAAAATACCGCCGATCCCTTCTGTTTGTGCCTGTGTGAACATTTCTGGATTTCTGCTATTTCTAGGTTGGTGAGAGGGCACAGCTTAGACTGGCCTCAGGCCGCAAATGAACCTCCGTCCTCTGCGGGAGGAATGAGAAGCCTTTGGTTCTCCCCAGTGCGCTGTTCCTGTGCAAGGCCAGCATGAGTCAATTATTGTCCAACTGGTGGAGCCGAAAATAGGCATATGGTTTTGTCGAATGGTGACAAGGGCCGGTCTGTGGCCCTGGAGAGGGCTGGGTCGTTCAGGGGCTTGGGAGGCTGAGGATGGTGACAGTGATTTGGGCTGATAGGAATTCGTTCTGAAAACAAAACAAACATTGCCTTAAATGGCATTCCTGAATCAAATAAATAGAAAAAACAGATGAAAAAAACCGAACAAACTGGGATTCAAAAATGTCACCTGATGCTTAGATAATGCGAGTTTTCTAACTGACTGTCTTGCCTCCACTTTTCTCCTTCCTCCTTTCCAACTCAGCCTCCAGGAATATCATTGCTTCTACTCTCATAAACCTGCAGTGTCTCCCTGTGACTTACCTCATAAAGTTTATGGGCTGTGGCCTGGCGTTCGGAGCCTTCCAACATGAGACCCCAACATTAGTTTGCTGCTCCCCCAAAACTTGTATGTTTCCTGCCCCCTGTAAATTCCCATTGTTTGTTTCTACCTTGGTACCTTTGACCATGATATTCTTCTTTCCAAGAATGCTTTCATTTTCCTGCCTGAGTCCTACACCTTTTTTTCAAGGCCCAAATAAAATGCCACCTCACCGGGGCAGCTAAGTGGTAGAGTGGAGAAAACATAGGCCCTGGAGTGAGGAAGACCTGAGTTCAAATCCAACCTTATACACTTACTAGCTGTGTGACTCTGCGCAAATCATTTAGCCCTGTTTGCCTCCCAAAAAACCCCCAAATAAAATACTCTTTCCTCCGTGAAGTCTGCCCTGATGACTTCATTTCCACCCACAATGATCTCTCCTCTTGCCTGGTTTTTCCACAAATACTGTTTTGGATTAGTATCTCATCTTTCCAGTTGTATTATAATAATAACAGCTAAAATTTATATAACATTTTAAGATTTGCAAAGTGTTTTATACATATCATCTCATTTCATCCTCACAACAGCCTTGGGGGATAGGTGCTATTATTATCCCCATTTTACAACTGAGGAAACTGAGGCAGATGGTGTTTAAATGAGTTGCTCACAGTCACAAAGGTAGCAAATGTCTGAGGCAGGATTTGAACTTTCGGACTTCAAATTCAGCTTTCTATCCACTATGCTGTCTAATTGCTCCCAAAACAGCTAATAATAGCTCCTATTTCTAGTGATTCAAATATGCACAGTACTTTCTTCACAACTCTGTGAGGATTGGTAGTATATGTGTTACCATGAGGCTGCTAAATAGTACAATGCATAAAGAACTGGATATGGAATCAGGAAGGCTCTGAGTTCAAATGTGACCTCATATACTTGCTAGCTATGTGACCCTGGCCAAGTAAGTCACTTAACCTCTGCCTCAGTCTCCTCATCTATAAAATGAGAATAATAATAGCAATTCCCTCCCAGAGTTGTGCGGATAAAATGAGGAAATGTTTGTAAAAAAGTACTTTGTTAGGGCAGCCAGGTGGCACAGTGGATACAGCTCCAGCCTTGGAGTCAGGAGGACCTGAGTTCAAATCTGGTCTCAGATACTTGACACTTACTAGTTGTGTGACTCTGGGCAAGTCACTTAACCCTGACTGCCTTACCCCACCCCAAAAAAAGTACTTTGCAAACCTTAAAGCACTATATAACTATTATGCTTAGCCCTATTTTACAAATGAAGAAAATCAAGCTCCAAAGAGATCAAATGATTTGTCCAGGTCACAAAACTAACAAGGACTAGAGCTAGAACTTATATCTTAACCTCTGACTTCCAGATCTTTCCACCTGTACCTCAGATTCTGGAAGGAAAGTAATACTGATTTTCCACCTCCTATAGCACCTGGTATATTGCAGGGCATTGACTGGGTGCTCAGTAACTGTCTGATCAATATATGTGCAGAAGGTGTTGACTGCCTGGACAGGGAAGATAAAGTATTTAGGAGAATCACATCCTTGAGCAAATATCTCATATTATCATTATTATTATTTTAAAGTGAGGGACATCTTCTCTGGTATAGCTATAATCAGGATGCTAGAATCACAGATCTAAAGCTGGAGGGGACATCAGAGGCCACCTAATCCAATCCTCCCATTTTATAGATAAAGAAACTGAGGCCAAGGAAGGTTAATTGACTGGTCCATAGGCACACAGGTGGTAAGCATCAGAAGTGAGATTCCTTAACTCTGTTCTTTCCCCTTGTCTTGTCAAATAACTTCGTGATGAAGGCCAAAAAGAAAATTGGAATCGTGAGTTGATTTGATTCAAGGAATACTGAGGGAATTCAAGGAAAGAAAACAGAAAGCAAGACTATGTCATTAACGTAGAGATGATGGGGTAGAGGGCTTAGAGTCTGTGAAGACCTTCATTCAAATCCATTTGCTGGCTGTGTGACCCTGTGCAGATCACTGACCTCTCTTTGGTTTGGTTTCTGGTAAAATGGAGATGATAACAGCACCCACCTCCCAGGGTTGTTGTGAGGTCCAAATAGGCTTAGGTGTATAAAGAACTCTGCAAACTTTAAGATGCTATGTAAATATCATTATATTCTGTAGCCTTGACCTTTGACTCTGAGTTCAGAGCTTTTTTTCCTCCCACCTAATATGTCTTGCTCTCACATTTACAAGTGATTATGTTTATAAAAGAATTTTCTATATGAAAAAAAAGATCACCATATAGTTGACACAGGTTTTAACACAGATTGACACAAAAATCCTCAAAAGAATTGGGATATTACTTGGGAGTTTGTCATGATGGATCATAGCTTTAGGTCTGAAAGGGACGTCAGAGGCCATAGGGTCTGAGGTATTCATTTTACAGATGAGGAAATTGAGGTCCGGGGAGGTTCAGTTACTTTACCAAGGTCTCACAGTTAGTAAAAGTTTTTGAAACAGATGACCGAACTAAATTTAATATCCTGCCCAAAATAAATTCATCTTACCCCTCTGGCCTCAGTTTCCTCATTTGGAAAAGGAGAAGGCTATATTGGATGTTCTCTAAAGTGCCTTCTGGTTCTGGCTCTATGATCCGAAATTGAAATTACCTCTTGTTTTCGATTTTAATAATTCTTTGAAAGTGAAACACTAGAGGGCAGCGTGATCCCAAGGATAAGTACTGTTTCATACAGAATTATCATACAGAGCTAGAAGGGGCCAGCTAGATCAGCATGCTTATTACTGCAGAAGGGGAAACTGAGGCCCAGAGAAATTAGGTGACTTGTCTAAGGTCACACAGCGGCAGCATTTGAACTTAAGGCGTCTGATTCCACGGTCAATATTCTTTGCCCTGCACCATATAATCATAAAATGTCAGGGTTGGAAGGGATCATAGTCCCACACATCCATCCAATTCCTCCATTTTCCAGATGAAGAAACTTTGCCAAAGTCCCATAGCTGGCTAGTGACAGAGAGGAGACTTCTCAGTGGATGAATTTCTGTCCTGTCGTTTGAAAGAAATCATGGTGGTATAGGCCCATGATTAACAAGACATACACTCTGTTTTTTTTTTCTTTTTGGTGAGGCAATCAGGGTTAAATGACTTGGCCAGGGCCACATAGCTAGTAGGTGTTAAACGTCTAAGGTCGAATCTGAGGTCGGATTTGAATTCAGGTCCTCCTGACTCCAAGGCCGGAGCTCTATCCATTGCACCACCTAGGTGCTCCACTCTGGATTATTTTTTAATTGTTGGTGACTGTGGTGAGTTTCTTCCTTGCCTGGACCCTACTCTGAACTGGGACATGTATTTGTAAGAAGGTCATTTGGGATGAAGAATGCAATTAATGGACAAGTAAATGAAACTTTATTAAGTAGCTGTCACGTGCTAAGTTCCAGGGATACAAAGAAACACAAAAAACTAGTCCCTGTTCTCAAGGAGTTCACAGAGTAATGGGGGAAGACAACATGAAAACCATGCACGAAGAATTGATGTATAGAATCAATTGGAGATATTCAATAGAGAGAAGACAGTAGAATTAAGAGGGATTGGGAAAGGCTCCTTGTAGAAGGTAGGATTTTATTTGGGACCTGAAGCAAGCTAGGGAAGCCAGATAAGGAAGGAGAGATTACCAGGCAAAGGGAACAGTGAAAATACACAAGAGTAGGGGGATAGAGTGTCAGAATCAAAAAATTTCAGATTGAGAAAGGACCTCAGAGGTCACATAGTTCAACCATTACCTGAAAAAGAATCCCTTCTATGACATAACCAATAAGCGATCTTCCAGTCTTTGCTTGGCGATTTCCAGTGAGGAAGAACCACTAAGGCAGCCCAGTCATGGAACTTGAATTCTTCATCTGTGCAAAGCAACCCGGGAGCTTGAGCTCATAAGTATCATGCTTTGACCAAGGGAACTAACTAGCTCAAAGTTAAATATCTGCCAGTATATCTCCCTTTCATGAGTCCTTTGCTAGCTAATCAATGATTGGCCTAGAATCCTGTCATGAGACAAGTGTAAGACAGAGAAATTGAATTATAAAAGCCATCAGGCCAGCTAGAAATGGAGATAACATTTCAAAGGCATGGATGCCTGGAAAAGCATTTGAAGTATGTTAACACAAGCTTAGCTGATGGTGTTGGGAGAATTACAGCCAGCTCTTAATTCTCCCTGTTAATGACGGTGGATAATCCCAAATGGCAAGTAACAAAACAAAACAAAAAAACCAAGGAATTCTATACTTACATTTGAATATAGGTGTCTCTAATATTCCGAAGCTTCATTCAGGCAAAAGTACTGAAATGGTCTAATGGTCTAATTTTTCACCGTCTTCATCTTACCACTCCTGCCCACTTCATTCTGGGAAGAGAAGACATCACTTCTAAGACTATTGGAGGAAACATTCTGAATGGGACCTAGTTTTCTCAGGAAATTTGATGGTCTGTATCATTTACTGGGGCAGGGGTACAATTATGTGCTGCATTATACCTTCCCTAAAGCAGGGAGATAACTGTATTAGCCACTATCTTTCCTTTCTGCCTGCCTGTGTAGAAGACCCTATGAACCATGTATGTCTACTTCACACAGAAACACACTGTTCAAGTCTGAATTTTTTAAGGTAAATTCACATCTTCACAGTAAAGTCTACTTTAGTACCTCTTCCATTTATCCCTCATTACTAATATTGTTTATGTACTACCAATGCTGCACAAACTGAGTTAAATTGTGAAGTAGTCTTTGGTACCTCCTAGATCCCTTCTTTTGGGGATTATCTCCTGCTCCCTATTACCTGTCATCTTATCTCAGCTTCCTAGTCATCTTCCTAGGGAGATATTGTTTGTAAAGTACTTAGCACCAAGCTTGATAACCAGTAGGTCCTCGATAAATCCTTGTTTCCTCCCTTTTCCTATCCTCCATCCCTCCCTTCAGCCTCTTTCCAATCAGGTAGGCAAATAATTAAAGTCATTTTCATTTAGGAATTAATGACAAACACAAAGGAATGAGTCATTAACAGTGGAATCCTAGGTATCCAGTGGAGGTGGCTTCCCACCACATACATTCCCAACACCTACACCATCCCCTCCTCCTCTTGGGCAGACTGGCCTATCGAAAGACCTCACACCAGAGCCACTGGTGTCTTCAAAGTTTCCCTTGAAGCCTTTCCAGTGAGAGTAAATACCAGCAGTGTTAATGTCAATGTCATCCTTACTTAGGCAGAATGGGTGACTGTGTCACGAAGAATCACAAACCAATATTACTGCAGACCTTAGCTATGCTGGCAATGCCAGTAATTTGCTTGTGGATAGCCAAGTGATTGTCCCTGACCTATAGGGACAATCAGAAAAAATGCTGCCCTATTTTTATGTCTGTTGGTGTCTGGGTGCTTTGTGCAGCTCTCCTCCTGTTCGGTACAAGTTTATTATGGGACTAGGCTGTTTGAGGAGGTAACTGTTGATGCCACCTGTCACTGTGGGCTCTGCAGAGAGGTGGGCATTGGTTTCATCTTTATCCCTGCAGTTCTTCTCTTCTCAGTTTGATTTGTAGCTGGGCTAGTCTTCTGCTGGAATGTTTTCTCAGTCTCAAGGCTGTGGAAGCCTATAGGCAAACTTTGAGCCATTTTAATTTCTAATAGCCCCCATGCATACTGCCCAATGGAGAATCATTTCCACTGTTACTAGTGAGAGGTCTTTGCCTTCATCACACTCGTTCTATTCTCCTTTGGCTGCTTCTCTGTGATGCTGCTTGGGAACCAGTGGACACAGGCAGAATAAGATGCTGGTGGCACACCTTACACCATTGAGTGTAGAACTGTGGTTTGACCTACTGAGGAAGAAGAAACGAGAGGAGCTGACAGCTCCGTTGGATGAAATAAAGTGGTCTTGGGCAGTAAAAGAGACTGGTGTCTTCTTCTACTTCTCGTGTGGGGCAGCAGTACCTCCCAGTCTCTTTTCCCATTCCTTTGGTGACCTTTTCAGTTGGCAAAACTGCCAGCACAAAGTGGAGGAGACTGAGCACAGATGAATACCTTGTGCCAGGGACCATCTAAGAACCAGGAGAAGATTGGAACATTCAGGGCCAAGGCACATTTAGATTGCCTTCTACATACATCTCCCTCACACAGAAGATGTGTCCCTTCTACAAGAAGTGATCATACAGGAGCCAGTCAGGAGCTAGATGAAGCCCTTTACAAAGTCCTCATATCCAATTCAGTTCGATTCAACAAACTTAAATGTCTCCTTGCTCCAAGGCACCATGATTTCACAGAACACTGCCTTTACCAAGTTTTGTGTCTATTTTCCATCTGTGGCTCTGCTCAGTTTCTTCTCTGATGGTGCCACCCCCAGAATAAGCTGATCACCTGAAATCTCATCAGCATGCAGAGCACATTCTCAGAACCCCCAATTGCATCTCCCCTGTGACTGGAGGGCTGGAGGACAGAGCAATGAACTCCTCCCCAAACCCTCCTTTATAGAGGGCTCAGAACTTTCCAAGCTACCTCTTCATTTTTCATCAGCAACTCTTCTTGGTTTTAATTCCTTGGTTCTTAGTACGTTTTCACACACCCTCCACCTTTGGGGTTTCATCTTGTATATTGCCTTCCCCTATTAGATTGTAAGCTCCTTGGGGGCAGGGACCATCTTTCTTTTTCTTGTTTGTATCTTAGTACAATGCCTGTGACATAGATGCTTGATCAAGGTTTATTGAATTTAACTGGTGTACCGGAGGCAGCTTGTAATGGCTTTGAGAGAACAAATGGTTAAATTCTCGGTTTGACCATTCACACCTCAGAAGTCAGCAAACAGGACACATTGGGGTTTAATTCTTTATTTTGTTGCTTGTCTAAACTTAAGAAAGTGATGGATAAAATGTTGATAATACAGATTAAACTTAAAAATGTGTCCTTGATATTTTTTTCCCCAGAGTCTGTCATTAAATATTTATTAGCACACTCTTCTATATACCTCTCAAAGAGATTTATAATATAATGTTGCATACTATAATTACCTGCATTTGAGTTTAATCACTTGATCTTATTGTGAGGATCAAATGGGGTAATATGTAAAGAACTTTGCAAACCATGAAACACCATGGAAATGCTAGCTATTATTATTATTAATGTTGTTGTTGTTGTTGTTGTTGTCTCGCAGTAATTAGGAAGCTCCACAAGTCGGAGAATCTCCAAATCAGAAGGGACTTCACAGGCCACTTGTCTAATCCCTTCATTTTACAGAGAAGGAATTATAGGACAAGGAAGATTAAGCTCCCTGCCTCAGCTCACACAGCAAGTCATGGGCATCTCTGGGAGTCAAACTTAGATTTTATGGCTTCAAATCCAATGCTCCAAGCTCAGGACCCTTTACACTAAACAATACAACACAGTCCCTAGCAAAGGAATTCTGTCTACACTATCCCAACAAACGGTCATCCAGACAATTTTACTTGAAGAATTCTGTCTCATAAAGGGGAACCCACTCTCTTCCTATGCCATTCATTCCATTTGGGGATAGCTCTTATTGGAGGAAGCTTTTCCTTTTTTTAAGCCTAAATTGACTTCTCAGGACCTTCTACTCATTGGGAATAGTTGGGACCAATTGGTTAGGACCAAGCAAAACAAATCCAAACCATAATCCACATGACAGCTCTTCAAAGGCTTGGGGACCATCATTATGTTTCCCTTAAGTCTTTTCTTTTCCAAACTAAATATCTTTAGTTCTTACAACCACACTCCTGTTGTGATAAGTTCCCTTCACTCCAGTCACTTCGCTGTCCTGGTAGCCCTTCTCTTGATGCTCTCCAGCATTTCCTAAAAGTGTTGCTCCCAGGATTGAGCATAATACTCCAATAATGATATGACCAGAGAAGAGTACAATGGGACTATCACCTCTGGATTCTGGGTGCTGTGCCCCTCTTGATTCAGTCTAAAATTCACTTGCTGTTTTGGTCCCTATGTTGTACCCACAGTCAAATCAAAGTGTACAGATCTTCTAAAAGTTGTGTGATTTTTAGAACATTTAGCACATTGGGTGAATGTTCACCCTTGGTGAACTCATGCAAGGACATAAGTGCCATGCAGAATGTGAAGACATGAATTAGTTGCAATCTGTGTCTTTGGAGGGACTTTCCAAATAGATGAGATCATAGATCCATTTAAGTATTTAAGTATGCCACACCATTGACTTATAGCCACAAGAATGCAGAATTTCAGAATTGGAAAGGACCTTAGCAGCCATTCTATCCAACCATGTCTAAACAAGAATGTTCAGGACAACAAGTGATCGTAAATACAGACTTTTCTCAAGAGTCCAGTGAAGGAGAAAACACTAGCTAACCCACTTTTGGCTAGCCTTGATTTTTAGGAAGGTTCTCCTCATATGAATTCACCTCTTTGTAACTTCCTTCCAATGTAGATAGGCACTCTCACCCAGAGTTAATCCCCTTTCATATGACAGCCTGTTGAATGCTTGAAGATACCTTTTATGTCTCTTGGAGTAAAAGACTTTTCTTTTCCAGGTAAAACAGCCTGAGTTCTTTGAACTGATCCATATTTGGCATGAAATTCATTGTTCTAGGTTGGCCATATTTGTATGTTCTCCAGTTCAGCAATATACTTCTTGAAATGTGTCACTCAAAGCTAAACATGGAAAAACCAACTTTTTTGAATTTTATTTTTCTGGCCAGACCTGAATACAGTGAGACTATTGCCTCCTTATTCCTGGTACCTATGTTTCTCTCAAGTGCAATGCAAGATCTCATTAATTTTTTTTGACTGTCATATCACATTATTAACTCAAATAGTACTTTCAATCTAATAACCCCCCTAGACCTTTTAAAGACAAATCACTGTCTAGCCACTCTCCCCATGCTTGTGAATTTGATTTTTTGAATCCAAGTATAAGACACTATAGTTAAACTCATTAAATGTCATCTTTGATTTAGTTCAATGTTCTTATCTAAGATTCTTTTGGATCTAGTGTTACTCAGTGTCTTTGCAATCTCTGCCATCTTTGTAAATTTGATGAGCATACTATCTATGCCTTTGTCCAAGTAACTAAAAGAGTGGCAAACAGAACAGGCACTTGGGGGACACTTTACTGGAGAACTCCATTAATAGAATCCAATTTAGAGCTGAAGGGGACCTCAAAGGCCATTCAGTCCAACTCTTGAATTTTATAGAGGAGATAACCAAGGCTCAGGGATGTTGAGTGACTTGACCAAAGGTCAGACAGCATCACAAGTGGGATTTGAATCCTAATCCTCTGATTTCAGAGTCAATTCTCTTTCTACTATACCAAGCTACTTCTTCACAACAGAGAACTCCTAACCATTTCTCTTTGGATCTATGAAGCCATAATCCACCACCTAACCGATAATACTCTCTATATATATCTTTTGCTAAAAGACACAAGCTATTTTTCACATGAACTGTTGCCTCAAAGTGCCTCCCCCACCTTGTACTTGTGAATTTGATTTTTTGAACAAGCATGGCATTTTTCATTTGTTTCTACTAAATATCAATTAATTAGATTTGTCTGATTATTCTACCCTGGGGAGACATTTTTTTCCCCCATCTTGATTGGCACCCCTCCCAGCTTTGTGTTATCTTCAAATCTGATAAGCATGCTCTCTAAGTCTTCATCAAAACCATTGATTGAAATGTTAAACAGAACAGAGAGTCCTGAAGCAGTCCATTAGAAATCTACCAGTCTCCAAGTTGACATCAAGGCTTTGATAACTCTCCTTTGGGTCAGGTTATCCAATCAATTCTGAGATCTACATTTCTATATAATCCATAAAAATAGCAGAAGAGACTTTATCAAATGAGTTCTGGGACCAAGTCTGATTTAAACTTTGTAGTGTCCTGTAGAGTAGGCTGCCTACCACAGTGATTTAAAAGATATTTGTTCAACTGAATTTATTTCTTGAAATCTGGATGGATAGGGCTGAACAAGTATGTCCAAGCTACCAGGTTTAAAAGACATCAGAAGCTCTCAGGGGTGGGGAACCTGGGGCCTTGGCCACATGTGGCCTTCTAGGTCCTTGGGTGGGGCCTTTTGACTGAATCCAAGTTTTACAGAATAAATCCTTTTTTAAGGGGATTTATTCTGTGAAGTTTGGATTCAGACAAACAGCTGCACTTGAGGACCTAGAAGGCCACATGTGACCTCGAGGCTGCAGGTTCCCCACCCCTCTTTAGGTTCTTGTCATCCCCGCTATTGCTATTGCAAGTTCTAGAGAATTTTGCACTGTCAACTGACTTTTGCCCTTTCAGAATGTTGACTTCTCAGGCCCTCCTCTGTTGGACATTCTGCTCCCGGGGCGGTCCATTTGTAGTCCTTCTAGTTCCTGGTTTCTTGTGACTGACCTAGCCCCATCAGCTTGAAATCTGCCTCATCTCTTTATTCTTGCCTCCTCATAACTGTTGACCTAAGGCAGGGTAGCCCTTAGTTATCACATAGTTAGCTGGTCCTGAATGAACCACCTTTGGAAGTAAGTGCTGAAGCTAGTTTGGGTTGCTCAGCCCATGGTGGTCACAAAAATGTCAGGCTAATTCTTTCAAGGAAGTTCACAAGATATACCTTCCCTGCAATGTGTTCTCCCCCTCCCTTAACTGCTAAACACATAGGTAGTGAATAAAAGCTAAAGTAAAAGTTCATTTTAACTTCAACGGGGCAGCTGGGTGGCTCAGTAGATCAAGTGCCAGGCCTGGAGTCAGGAGGACTTGAGTTCAAATCTGGCCTCAGATACCTACTAGTTGTGTGACCCTGGGCAAGTCTCTTAATCCTGTTTGCCTCAGTCTTCTCATCTATAAAATGAGCTGGAGAAGGAAATGGCAAACCTCTCTGATATCTTTGCTAAAAACATCCCAAATGGGGTCATGAGGAGTTGGATACAACTGAAACAACTGAACAACAACAATAAAAAAATTTAACTTTATCCTACATGGATTTCCAGCCATCTAGTTTAACCTGACAGTCAGTCCCCTTTATTACTTGCCTGTCTGTGTTGGCTGGTGTTCTGAAGTGACCATCTGGTTCTATCAATCTGCAATAATCTACCAATGCATAACAAATTCTTCTGGCCTAGCCACCTAAACTATGCACACATATGAATAAATAATGCACAAATATATACATATATGCTTGTTTATATGTATACTCAGTTATCTGCACACATAAGTGTGTATGCTTTCTGTAAATAAGTATATAGTATATGCATATGCACATGCTCACATACATGCTTGTGTGGCCCAAGTGCACACACACACACACACACACACACACACACACACACACACACACTGACCTGAAAATCTTAGTAAAGTTTTAAGGTTTGATAATTAGCTCTTAATTCACTCTCCCATGTTGCCTCTATACTATGATGATGGATAATAATAACTGACATTGAATGAGGCCTTGAAGAGTACCTAAGCGATAGATTAGATAGTGCTGGACTTATAGTCAGGAAGATCTGGGTTCAAATCCTGTCTCAGACACTTAGATGTACAATCCTGGGCAAATCACTTAACCTCTTTAGCTTTAGTTTCTTCACCTGTAACATGGAGATAATAATAGTATCTACCTCCCAGGGTTGTTCTGAGGATCAAATGAGCTACCATGTATGAAGTACTTTGCAAACCTTAAAACAAAGCATTATATAAATATAGCAATTTTTTTAATGCACATACATTATCTGATTTGGGACTGCCAACTGCCTTGTGAGATAAGTTGTCCAAATATCTCTCTCTGAGAAACCTGAGATTTTGATAGGTCATAATGACTTGCCAGTGATCACATAGCTAGTATCTGATCCCATGTTTCCTGATTTCAAATCCAACCTTCTATTGACCTCACCAGTCTGTGTAATGTGTTGCCTTCACATCCTTGAATATATACTACATACATCTTATTCAGTCATTTTTTTAGTCATGTATAACTCTCTGTGACCCCATTTGGGGTTTTCTTGGCAATGATACTGGAGTGGTTTGCCATTTCCTTCTCCAGTTTGTTCTACAGACGAGGAAACTGAGGCAAACAGGAGTAAGTGACTTGCCTAGGGTCACACAGCTAAGAAGTATCTGGGGCCACACTTGAACCCAGGAAGATGAGTCTTCCTGATTCCAGGTCTGGTGGTCTATCCACTGTACCACCTAGCTGTCCCATAATACATTATGCTGCATATATATTATAATAGAATTTTTTCTCATCCTTTGTAACCTATATCCCTGTTCCTAGCTTCTAAATTGTTCTACTCTGCAAATGTTTCTTTCATCCTATTCCCTTGCTACTCTCCCTAGCAAATGCTGAATAACTTGGCTTATATATACTTTTTCTGCCAAGGATTCTTTTTTAAACATTAGGTAGTGGCTGTTCATTCTTCTGACATGAAGCCTATAGAATGAGCAACTTGTGCACTGTTTCAAAGATGCCTTGAGGGCTCTGTATTGTTCAGTATCCAGCGCTTTATAATTCTGAGGTACTGCTGCCCTCTCCCTCTCTTGATTATTAGTTTACATTGTATGCTCAGATGCTTCTGTTAAAAGCCCTTGAATAACAGAAGGATAGGCTTCCTTCCTGATGCACACTGCATGCCTGTTGTCGTCACTCATTTTGGGGTCCCTGACACCACCAGCACTGTCATGCTCCTAATAGGTGCTCAATAAATATTTGTTTTACATTTTAAATTCAGAGCACTCAACTTCTGTCTATATGTCTATTGTGAGCACTGTAGGCTACAGGCTTAGCGGCAAAAAGCCAATTCTGCTGCTTACTGAGTTTGTGCTGCTGTTCCTGTCTCTTATCTGATCCTCTTATAGGATTAAAGAGCTGGAAGAAATCTTAGAGATTATCTAGTCAATCAAACCCCTTCATTTTACAGATGAGGAAACTAAGACCCAGAAGAGAAGTGAACTGATGGGTTCCTTCCTACTGTCGAAAGTTCCTTCTCTCTTCCTTCCCATCTGCTTCATTGTGTTCACTTGAATACAGTTTTGGGGTAGAAGGAGGGTTAAGAAAGATGCAATCACTACTTTTCATTTAGATTTTCTTCCCTGGAGACTTCTGTCAGCCTAGCACTTAGCTCTATCTGTGGAAGGGCTTCAAGGAAAACTCAACTAAACTAAAGATTTTTATTGACTAAAAGAAAAGAGATTTAGGGATGCCAATTATAATTAGGATGGGGTGATTTAGACTCTGGCCAAAGATAGTGAAATATAAAGTGAACAAAAACTTAATGTATATATTTGCTAGCAACAGTTGTTTTTTATGACTAGTTTCTAAGAACAATTAGGAAGCTACCACATATATTCACTATGAACCCTTATTGTAGTTCTCTCCCCCCTCCACTGAATTTGTGCTAGGTACTTTTATTATTTTCCACATTGTGAAAAACAAAGTTGATTAGAGGGTTCATTTCCTGCTGCTAGCTCCAGGAATGAAAATTGCTAATTACAACTTTGGGTGCACATTACCTAGTCAAGGATAAAGAGCATCCCCAGACTTAAGACTGTGTAAGCTTGATGCTGAATGGAGTCCATGGAAGCAGGGATGCTGATGGTATTTGTCAGTTAAAGTTTCACCACTGCTCACTGGCCAGTATGCAAATTTTGAGGCTGACCTCTAACTGGCCACAAAGGTGGCCCCCATTATGTTAGACATGGGTCTCACCATTCCATCTATAAACTAAACCCAATACTTGCCTACTCACTTAAATGAGCAAATCAGTGCCTAGGGCACAAACGTCTTATTTCCTTGAAGAAAAAAAAAGTATGCATATATCAATGATGAGAATATGGTCCCAGGTATTAAGAGAGTCCCCAGGTTTTTAGATTGTCTACGAGACCACAGAAGAAAGCTTTGCAGACAAGGAAAACCCTACCCTGTTTGAAGCTCCCAATTCAAATGCAACTGACAGGTCTTGGAAGCAAAACTCATACCTTTTCTTTGGGGAAATTACTTTTCTTCTCATGAAAAACATTTTTTTTGTAGTTCCATCAGGGCTTCTTCTGTCCTCCAGAATGGTCCAGCATTAGTTCTGGTGTTTCCTCAATGCATCTGGCCACAGGCTTTGCTGCTCCTTCCCCTTCATCTCACTGTATTCTTGTCCAGATCTCTTCCCTGCTGAAGGCGTTCTTGAGCCAGCAGTTATAAAGTGATTGCTTTGTAGTGGTCCTAGGCTTTCTTTTTGCTTAAAATGTCAAATGTCTGTATTTCTATCATAGTTAATTTTAGGGACTGGGGCCCTTGGACTTCCTGCTCCTTCTTTCATGTTGCTTGGTAGGAATCTCGCCAATGTCTTACTCTTGGTACTGGAGTTTAAACTTTGTCCTCCTCCTTCATTCCAATTATTAACACATCTGCTTTTTCCTGTTACTTGGCTTTCAGCTTTTTTTTTTTCTGAAATGCCGCCCAGAACCCTTTCCAGCTGGCTCCTGGCCAACATTCTTCATTCTCCTTAAGAGTGAACCAGGGTGAATGTCCTGGCCCCCAAGTAATGGCAACGTGGACTTGAATTTACAACACACACACACACACACACACACACACACACACACACACACAAGATATATTTGGAATGTATCTAAAGTTGATTTCTCCTCCTCTAATTAGTTCCTAGATGCACTTATTTGTTTTTATACTCTCCCTTTAAAATAGTTAATGAGTATTTATTGACTACTGACTATAGGCTAGACACTGTGCTAATGCTGGGATACTAAGAGAGGCAAAAACAGTCCCTGCCCTCAAGGAGCTTACATTCCAAAGGGGGAAACTACATACAGAAAAGATTTGCATTGAATTGATGGAAGGTAATCTGAGAGCAAAGGACACCAGATAGGAAAGGGGGAAATATTTTGGTAGGAAGCCAAATGACTATTCTTTTGCCTCTGTTCATGGATCCCTAACTAATGCAAGGTGACTGAATTTTTCTCTTGAGCACTGATTGCTTCCCACGTAGTGGTTCCTTATTGGCTCCATGCCATGCAGTTTTCAGAAGGTCCCATCCCACCACTGGGCCCACCTTCCCCCAACTACTTTGTTCCTTGCTTACTGTCTCATCCCCCTTCTCCCTGACTTCTTCCAGTGGGTTGGGGTCAGACTCCTTGAAGGGTACTAGCTTCCTTTCCTAAAGTCACTTATATAAATGGAGGAAATTGCTTTCTGTGCTTTCCTTAGGCACCAGAAGACCTAGTTACGTCTCTGTCTCTGGCCAATGGCAAAGGTAAGAACTGAAGCAGCTTCTTGATTCTCTATGTCCAGAGAACATTCCATTGAACTATATTGTCATCCTTCAGTTTTGAATAACAAGGTAGTCATGTATGAAGAGAAGAGGAGTTGTGCCTAAAATGCCAAAATATGTTCACCTTGTAAATTTTCAGCATGTTCTATTCTTCATGTTCAGAACTTGATGCCTGGCAAGTTTTTAGTTGTCTCTCTACACTATCCGTAACATCTGGACTGAAGAGATGGGCTCAGCAAAATATAACAAAAACAGAAATAAATATTGTCCATGAAAGAGGACTATATTTCTGAAATGCTTCCAGAAATATCAAAAAACATCCTTGCTACTTCCTGAATATGAGAAACTATTGAAAGAGACAGGATGCTAACATTTAGTGGGCCAGTATGAGACCACAGTGATTGGGCACATCAATCCTTTGGGTCCCTGACAACTTGTTCAAAGGCAGAATTTCCAGTGTTAGTAGCTTGAAAATAAGGATTCAGTGGGACAAATGTTGAACTGGAAGTCAGAGGAGCTGAGTTAAGTTCTTTGCTCTTTTACTCACTAGCTATGTGACTTTGCACATAGGAGGACTTTATTCCTCTGGGCCTCACCTTTCTTATCAGCAAAATGAATGGGTTGTACTACATGGCTTCTGAATTTCCATCCAGATCTACATGTATGATCTTATGAGCCTAAGGGGACTTTTCCTCTATCTCCCTAGCCATAAAAGGACGAGAGGCATTCTGTTTTTCTCCTTGTCAGACTAAGGTATGATAGGCTTGTGAGGAATCCCAGCTTCTGATGCCACATTTTGGAGACCTGGGTGGCCCTTTAAGGCTAGAGACAAGTCTGCTCTTCCTACACACCTTATGTCCTTTGAACTTTGCTTTGGATGGAGCTCTCCATAGTGCCATAGCAACTGGGGGATGACATAATGGGACCCTGGAGGAATAAACATTTGCAGTCCCCCTTTCATGATCTAAAGGTTACAATTAACTCAGTACCATACATTAACATAAGTGGAGGGCTCTGTTTTAGAGAAATACCTAGGGCTTTCACCCCTAGGGAACACCTTAGATCATAGAAAGTGACTAATAAATGTTTTTTCAGTCATTCATGTTCATCAAACAGAAGTCCTAGAATCACAGTAATGATGACAATATGACTATATTTTCAAACTATACTTCCCCCAACAACCAACCTGACATTGCTTTTTTTTTTTTGGGGTGTGAAGTGAGACATTTGTTGGAAGAGTGAATGTCTATTCTAAAGATGTAAAATGCATGAACTTCCTCTGCAGATCTTTCTAGCCTCCGCATCCCAAAGAATTTGAACTTTCAGTCCAGAGAAAAAGAAAGGAAGGGAAGGAGAAAGGAAGAGAGGAAGGAAGGAAGGAAGGGAGAAGAGAGAAAAAAAGGAAGAGAGAGAAAAGAGAAAAAAGAAGAAAGGAGAGAAAGAAAAGAAAAAAGGGAAAGAAAGACGTTTATAAGAGATTTATCCATTATCTACCACAAACCTTCTGCAGTTCTACTCCCATGCCTGGCCATGGCATGGAGTTGCTGCAGGCTTCTCAAAGATTGCGCCAGCAGAACACAAGCTCTGACAGGCTCTACTATGTTAGAAAGTCTTTGAGAAAAGGCCTAGCACAGCCTAGCTAAATTTTTTTTTGTTAAATTAAAAAGAAATTAATTTAAAAAGCCCTTACTTTCTCTCTTCCTAATTTTATTGTTCATACATTAAAAATGAGAAGAAAATCAGATTGTATATATTTTGCAGCTATAGGTAAGGGAGGCATTCTGTTTTAAAGTTGAATTTAATTAAAAAAATTAAAAACCTTCTCTCCCATTTTCTCTCTGGAGAGATGAGGAAAGACCCTTGTAACAAATAAACATAGTCAAGCCAAGCAAATTCCTACATTGGCCATGTTTGAACATTTTACACACACACACACAGACACACACACACACACACACACACAGAGAAACACAAATATGTGTGTGTATCTGCATTCTGAATCCATCACCTCTCTGTCATGCTTCATCATTGGAGTTCTGGAATCATGGTTGGTCATGATGTAAATCTGAATTCTTAAGACTTCAAGTGTTATTTGTCGTTACTATGTAATATGAATTGTCCTCCTGCTTCTTCTCACTTCATTCTACATCCATTCCTAAAAGTCTTCCCAGGTTTTTCTAAAACTATCCCTTCCACAATTTCTTGAAGGACAACAATATTCTTTTATATTCACACATTATAATTTGTTCAGCTATTCTGTAATTGATTGGTACCCCCTTAGTTTTCAGCTCTTTTCCACTACAAATAGGGCTACTATAAATATTCTTTGTGCATATGAGTCCTCTTTTCTCTCTTTGACTGATAGAGTTATTGCTGGGTCAAAGGGTATGCACAAGTTTCATAACTTTTTGGGCACAGTTCCAAATTGCTTTCCAGAATGGCTAGAATAATACACAGTTCTATCACAGAGCATTACTGTGCCTGTTTTCTTCTAGCTCCTCCAGCATTTATCATTTTCCTTTTTTGGTCATTTATGCCAATCTGAAAGGCATAAGGTGGAACCTTAGATTTTCTTTAATTTGCACTTTTCTGATTGTTAGTGATTTGGAGTTTTTCATATGGCCCTTGATAGCTCAGATTTCCTCCTTTGAAAACTGCCATATCCTTTGACCATTTATCACTTGGAGAATGATCAACTAGCTACATGCAGTGAAGCTAATCACCCCATTGACTACAAGGCAATGGATTTGGGGTCCATAGCAACTCTTGAAGATTGTTCACTAAATTGTATAGGAATTGCTCTCTGTATTGGTAAAGGAATATCTAAACTGAAAAAAAAAAAGATGAGTCAAAAGGAATTGAAGTTGTCTACAAATATCCCTTTGTGCAGGATGTCCAGCAGGCACTCCCTACTGTATGTTCTTGAGAGCTCCCTAATCACAGCTTTCTGAATTTGATCTAATTCACTGAAGTGCTTGGCTCTGTCCTAAGATTTCTCATAACACTTTGTATGGGCCTCCCCTTTGCAATTTCTGGCTAATTTGCAAGGGAGTTATTTGCATGCAAGCCTTATCTCCCTTACTAGATTGTCTAGTGAGTTTCCTGGAAGCCGAGACTAGAGCCTAGAGTCTGATTTCATTTTTGCCAGCCTAGCTCAGCACAATGTCTTGCACGGTTATAGTTACTGTTTAGCAAATATTGGCTTTGAATTTGGACATATTTCATCAGGAAGAAATACTTTTTTCAACAAAGGAAAAGAAGGAAAAAATACCAGTTTGATTCTGGAAAACTGGGAGTTGATGTCTTACTGAATTTCAAATACTCCAGAGGTAAGAACTTTAAAAGAGATATTTTATAAAATTTTAATAAAGTAGAGGAAAAAATGAAATTGTGGAGACCATTCAATAATATCGTAATAATTTCTGACTGTGCTGGGAAGACTGGTGACAACCAATCAATTAACAAGCAGTTGTTAAGCACATACTCTAAAGGTCTAGGCGCTGTGTTGGGGGTTGGGACAAGAAGACAAAGAAACAGTCTCAAGGAACTCTAAGGAACTTACATCCCACTGGGAGAAACAACATAAAGATTTCTAAGTATATACAAAATAAATTCAAGGGAATTTTTTTTCCGGGTGAATAGATCAAGAAAGGCCTCCTGTAACACATGGTATTTGAACTGAGCTTTGAAAGAAACCAGGGATTCAGAGAGACAAAGGTAAGGAGTGAATGGATTTCAGGCATGAGAGACATTGAGGACAAAAGTACAGGTGAGATACAGAAAGAAGAGGGAGTTAGCTGCTCTTTCTCCACTAAGTTCAAGGACTTGACTCTAGGGCTGTAGACATCTAGGTGTAGCATCCAAGGGTCCAAAGTATTCTAGTCAAGAGAGTTCATGTCATTTTACACATGTGGCAGATGAAGGGAAATTTTCCCCAAGGTTTGCAAGAAGTAGATCAATGGCCAAAGCACAGTAAATTACTAGGGAACTATTAGCTCTTTATTTTACGTGACCACACCAGGCGATGGGAGGATATTTCTCCATTGTGGGAGTACCCAAACCTTTGCTACAAGTACCCCATTA